AAGGAGGATTCCCGCCCCTCCAGCAACTTTGAAAAAAGCATGGGGGATCGTAAACTCGAACTTCGCCGGTTAATGGGCTTATTTATTGGTGCTGGCGGCTGCTTATTTTGGATGCCTTACAAACATCCGCGCTATCTGCGGGCGAGCCACTTTCCTCCCTCCCCCTCCCCCCGCGTGGGCCGCGCCTCGCAGACTGGGCCCAGACCACGGCTTAGGGTGCTCCGGGCCACGGAGAAGGGCATGCACGAGAGGGGGGCTGCTTGTCCCTGTCCTCGGCCCCAATTGGGGTGAGCTGAGGCCAGAGCGGAGGACGTCTTGGTGTGGGGCTCTAAGTCGGACATGAATTTTTACTGCGTCCCCACGCCCAAATATTAAAAAGCAAGTTCACAAGGTCAGCCTGCCTGCAGCTTGGGCCAAGGCCGGCCGGCTGCTGCGCGGACTCCTGGCTCTCTGCTCTTTCCCTTCTCTGGGTCGGCTTGCCTGTCTGCCCGCCTGACTGCGCCCCTTCAGCGCGCCCTGCTTACCCAGGGAGTCCTTCTCGGGCGAGGCTTTGCTGCTTTCGGAAGGGGCTGGGGAGAGCTCCTCCGCGGCCGAGGACGACGCGTGCGCCTCCTCGTCGCCCTGCGAGCCCCCGCCGCCGCCACCGCAAGTCAGCGTGGGGGGCGGCGGTGAATCGAGGGCTCGCTCTTTCCGGGCTGCATCCGCTGAGCCGGAGGCGAGTGCGGGTGGCGGGTCGAAGCCGCGCCCGGGGGGCTGAGCGGGGAACGGGCCGGCGCCGAGCTGCTGTGCGCCGCCGCTGCTGCCGTAACCCTTGGCCGTGCCATAGGCCTGGGAGAGGCGGAAGTAGCCGGGCACTGGCACCCCGCTGGAGGTGCTCAGGGCGCAGCCGTCGGGCGGCGGGCCTCGCGGGAAGGGAGCCAGCTCGGCTGCGGCGGTGGAGCCTTTGGGGCATTTGTCCGCCGAGTCGTAGAGGCAGTAGGAGCTCTCCTCTTTGATGTTCTGCGCGAAAGAGCACGAGGTGGCCTGCGGCGGGGGTTGGGGTGGTTGCGGCGGGGGCGGTGGCTGTTGCTGGGGCGGTGGCGGCGGCGGCGGCCCCTCGGGCTGCTCCATCCGGCACGACCGGGGCGCGTCTAGCCACAGGTCTATAGGCGCGGGCGCGTAGCTGTGTGCCCCAGGACCCAGGCCCCCGCTGCCGCCGCCGCCGCCCGGCGACGCCGCCTCATTGCGCTTGCCTCCCAGAGCCGGGAAGAGCCCGCAGCTCTGCAGCCCGTAGGGCAGGTCGGCCGCCGGTGGCAGGTAGACCCCGCCGTGGGCGTAGTAGCCGCCGCCACCGCCGCCCCCGGCGCCGCTGCCACCGCCGCCAGCCTCGCCTCTGCCGGAGCTGATGAGTGAGTCGACCAAAAAAGAGTTCGCGGCGGGGCTCTCCGAGCATGACATTGTTGTGGGATAATTTGGCGAAGGGAGCAGATAGCCCTTTCTGGCTGACATTTCTTGTGCAAAACATGCTGAATACGATTAGCAATCCCCCCGCACCGCGGCGGGCGCCCGCAGCCAATCCTGAGCCAGAGTTTCCGCGCGACCACTCCCAGTTTGGTTTCGTAGGCGCGGGGCCGCTCTCCGAGGGCGCCCTCTGAGCCCACGATTGATATAAATATGTAATCTGTATTGATGGGCCAGGAGACGCACACCCAATACCTCAGCCCAAAGGCCAGGAGCTGTGGGGGCTGCCCCAACGTGGCTAGTGGGGGGCCTGGTTCCTGGGCTAGCCCCGCCCACGCTCGGACGTGAGCCCTCCTGCGGGGTCTGTTTGAAGGGCCCTTGGGCCCCCGCGCAGTTAACAAGTGGGGTGTTTATGGTGCGCACCCCGGCCCGCCTTGGGTGCTCCCCACTCTTATTTGGGAATTAGCCACTAGCCTTCCATGTACTCTAAACACTAAGCGGGCCTATTGTAGGGCCTCAGACTCTTCCCGTTCGGCTCCGGACCTGGAACTGTCTCCTACAAGTGGCCAACCTGGCCGTAAGGCCACCAAGAACCTCAGAGTGTCCGAGATCCAGAGCGCACTGGAAGCCGGCTATTGCCACTTCTTTCTTGATTCCCATACGTAATTTCCCCCCAAATGTATTGCCCTGGCTTCTCAACCCCCACACTCTCCCCAGCCAGTCGTTGATCCACTTAGGATCTTTGTCTCTAGTATGCTCACCTGGCTTGCTTTCTCTGAAGCTGCTGTCGGTGGACCCTGGTGAGCTGGAACGAGAAGGGGGGTGGGGATGGTAGAAGCGACTGGCAACCTTGGCTGAAAGACTCCCCTGCCCCTATTCCGAGGTCAGCGCCAGGTCCAGGCACCCCATAGCCCCATTTCCCCGGTAGCTTCCAAGCTCAAACGCCGTTTCAGGGAAGTGAAAGAAACATTGCTCTTCTGGGTCTTGGGTTTGACTGGAGGCGACGACCTGGAGGGGTAAACTTGGAGAAGGGGCGGCGGATGAGCACCTCTGCCGTACAATTCTCAAGCTCTCCCTTTAGCCTTGGCATTCGCACGCTCTCGGAGGTTATGACTAGAACCAGTGTCACCACACTCCTGCCTCTTCGTCCCCTCCCCTCTTCCCCCCTCCCCTCCAAACCCGCGGCTGGGGCAGCCCTCACTCCCGCGGTGTGCGCATTTTAACGAGGCCCGCGGTGAGGAAATCCGTTCCCGGCAAGCCCGGGCTGGGCTCGTGGCCCAGTTATAGCAGCATTTGGAGGCCAGGCCCTTTGCTCAGCAGACACCGGGGCCTCCTTTTTCTCTGGCCGTAGGAACGCTCTCTCAGTCAATGGAAACTGCTGTCCCAGGGCGCTAGCCCCTGTGTGGGCCTCTTACATATCTCAGGAAATGCGACCTTTTCCGGCCCGGATCCAGTAGAGTCCAGGAGGTCTCTGCCTTGCCCCTTGCCGGTGGGCTACAGCTCTCCAGGATGCCCCAGGCCTGCCCGCCGCACCAGCTCCAGCCCCTGCAGAGGCCTAGACTGGGGCTGCTAAACGCCGGGATCCCAGGAAGCAGACCGCTCAGGCCTCTGCCTGCAGCGGGGAAAGACCCTTGCATCCCAGGTGATTTGCCAGGCACTTGGCCTTGTTCCTCCCGGTGTGAACCCAGACCGAGAAGGAAGCCAAGCCTGAGAAGACCCAGAGAGGGTGCACGGGAGAGCTGGCGGAAGAGCCCTGGCGCTGGCTTCTGAGATGCAAGCAGTTGCGGAATCTGCCTGCTGTGGCTGCTCTCCGCCCGCCCGCAGCGCGGGCGGCCGCGCCACAGTTTGCGCTGCGCTCTAGCCGCTTCCACCCAACTGGCCTGCGCCTGGCGGTGACCGGATCCGCAGGCTGGGCATCGGGGGTACAGAGGAGGGGGATAGGGAAAGACAGAGAGACACAGAAGGAGAGAAGGCCAGAGGGAGAGAAAAGAGAGGGGGAGAGAAGGGGAGAGTGTCTGAGAACTAATTCTTTCCAGTCCACAAGCTCCTGAGGCCGAAGTAGCAGCCGCAGCCGAATCAAGTATGTGTGGAGAGATCAGGAGCTGTCCTTCACTGCCCACCTCCTCCCCACGAACAAGGCCAAGGCAATTTCTAATCCGGCTAGGCCCACGAGATCGACAAACTTCCATATGGAAAGCTTCAGAGCTCGGAAACCTAGGACCCTTCTCTGGACGGGCTTGGTCCTTATCCCACTCACCAGGAGGGTGTAACGCATTGGGACTGTGGCGCTCAGCAGTGCTACTGGGAAATGCCACAAAACTGAGGACTGCTTGAGAAGGGGCTTTGCCTCTTAGCACTGCTCATGCCAATCAAGAAAGCTCTGCAGAGTGTGAAGTAGGTCCCAAGAACAGGAGAGGGTTCCTTGAAAAGAACGCGTCCCAGCAGGCCAATGGGCCAGGACTTGGTTACTCTCCCCACTAAATGCACAAAGCAACTTCCCAAGGCTGTAGATTGGAAAGGGTCAGTGGCCATGGGAGAGGATGCTTGAGATGGCAGAGGCTAAGAAAATAAAGTGAAAAGTCAATGATCTAAACCCGTCTTTCTCTTTGAAAGTTAAGGCCCCTTTGGAAAAGCTAAGGCCAAGCTCTGATTCTTATCCTGTGAAAAATGCACATTCCCACAATTTGACCCATCATTCTCAAGGAGTTCACAGACTCCTCACAGTCTTCTCCTTGGGCCCTCCAGAATGTTCCAGGACCCTCCGGAATTCAGCAGCCCTGCCAGTTTGACTGGTAAGACAAGCCGGTTGCCCCGGCCCTAGGCAGTTCAGGCTTAGTCTGGTCAGTGCTCTGTAGGGTGACTAAATGGGCTTCTAGGCTGGGTAAGATCCAAGAGCATGCAGGTGCCAACCAAGGTTACAAAAGTCAGCTTGGTGCTGCATCTGCTATATGAAGGTCCCCTTGGCTGCCGACTCAGAGGAGGTGGAAGGCTTGCTGCAGCCTCTCAGACCATGGCATTGGCACTTGGGTCTTCACTGACCTTTGGGAGAGCTGGATGTTTTTCTCCAGTGTCTTTTCTCCCCTTGCAATAAACCAAACGGGATGTTGAGTTTCTTGCTTAAAAAAAAAAAAAAAAAAAAAAGGATGACGATGATGAAGAGTGTGTAAGCCCATGTGAGAGTTCTTCTCTGGCCCAGGACCGCCACCCCACCCCCACCGGGGCTTGCCGAGCCTGAAGCCGAGCGGAATGGACAGCCTTGCCGACGCGCCGGGGCGCCGACTGGCCTGCTGCCGCTGGTTCGGAGGAGAAGATATCCACGCAGCAGAAACTCAAGTTAGAGGCTACTGCCCTTTCAGCTGGTCTTGGAGCTCCCAGCATCCCCGACTGCCCCCAAGCCTCTGCACTCCCCAGACTGTAACACTGAGGTGTTAACTTTCTCAATAGAATATTCCGTTTATCGATTGCCTGGGCTTTCCCAAGGTTCTCCATTCCCGAGAGAGATTAAGAAAAGCGATTTAGTTGCAGCATGTGTAGGCTTCTGGACACTCTCTTCCCTCTAACCCATTTGCCTTCTTTTCTTCTCTCCTCTTCTCCCTCCCTCCCAGCTGCTGAATTTCTCTCTCTCGCCCTCAGGATGCTTTTGACCTAAAACTCTCGGTGCCTGCTTCCTTCAGCCAGGCCTGTGTAGTGGTTATATATATGGCAGCCCCTAAAGCCCACGTTTTATTTAGGAGTAAATATTGTCTGTTTCTACCTGGGTAATAACGCTTCCCCTCCCCGTGGTCATGGAGCCGAAGTAATCGCCAGGCCGGTGGAAAAAGCCCTTTGGCGAGGATTACGATGCACTTCACCAGAGAGCGGATTCCTACTCCTCCTGAGTAGGCCCTCGCAAATGACCAGAAATAACAAACTGTTATTACCAAAAAACACCTCTTTTTAAAAATACTGGGTACTGAGACTGAGATAGCCAGTAAACAATCTGTATCTGTAAATTGTTCTCAGGGCTTTCCGGGGTCAGAATTATCTGACCCATTGTGGAGTTGGGCTGTAGCATCACAGAGGAAAAACAAACGCCACTTTCACATATCTGTTTTAACAAAAATTATGGACTTCTCTGATTCTCTCCTTCACTGTATAGTTAAAATATTTTTTATTGTAAGCGATGACATTCTTTTCTCGTTCATCTTTAAGAATGTCAGCATTTCCAGGGATATTTGCTGTGTCTGCTTTGAATTAATCAGGTGCAATCTATCCCTCAACAACGCACTTTAAACTTTTCTCTAAATCCAGCCATTAAACTGGCCCTTCTCTCGTGATGGGGGAGTGTTGGGGCCTTTTCTCATGCTCCCTAAGTTACAGTATCCTTAATTTTGTCCGTAATAAACTGCTTCTGGCCTTGAAACTAGAAGTGGTTCTGGGATTTTAGGGAAGGCTCAGGCTGCAGACAGCATGGTGCAGGTGCCCACTCGGTGTGGTTCCTGTGGCTGCCTTATTCTGACAGAATTTGGAATCCCGAGCTCAACAAAGACTAGTGACTTTTGATAGGCAAATTTACGAACACACACACAGGCACACAGGCAGCGCCTATTTTCTGAGATTCCTGCCCCCACTCACCCATGCACCGTATATTTGTAAAAATAAAAAAACCATTTCAAGAAACTAATGAGAACATCGGAATAAAAACTTAAATATAAGAAAAGAGGACATTTGAATCTAGCCTCTGAAATCTTAAGTCAAACGATTATTTTAAAACGTGTTTTATGACAACGCTGATGGACAGATTGTGATCAGAGTTCATTCTCAGTGCGAGCTTATGAAAACGTATAGGTATTTACCAATACCGTTTTTGCATGTTTTGCAAAATATGCGAAAGATACCATTTTTACATCTAAGAAATCACCACAAAACCCCAGCCCGGTTTATAATGGTACATTCCGAATAAGCAAATACAGACTTCTCTGGAAGCTTCAAAAATCATATGTGACTTTTTTGAATTGGCCTTCTTCAGAACAAAGGTTTTCCCCAGGCTGCTGGGGCACCTAGTAGGA